TTGAAATTGCCATAGCAAAAGCCGGACTGAAATCCAAACGTGCCTGATGAAATTTGCGGGCCTTGTATCTGGGTTAGCTAAATCAGAATATTAGTTGTGTAATTTGCTATATAGTCACAGTTCTCCACTCGGTTATGTATTTGAGGGGAATTATATCAGCCTGCCTGTTCCTGTCTCTCTGCGAAAACCAACATTTCAGTCTTACTTCAGTTTCTACAATGTGCTGTAAGAAGCGAATTCAAAAGAAATTCTGTATGAATTTTCTCTATGAATTCATGCAATAGGACCGTTCCTCGTTTATACCCACGTAGTACAATCAAAAATGAACTTTTGAAAGAAAAGGCAACATTTCAAAATTTGAAAATGTTTCACACGAAGACAACGATAAATAACGTACAAAAAAGTGCTGTGGGGGGTGGAGAAAGGTATATTTTTGGTAGTTATGACGAACCCTGGTCCTTGACATTCAAGTGCTTAGACGGTGTTTACAACGTTGCCATGGCGATATCAAATTATTATGTTCCTTATGTAACTGAGCGGCAAAGAGCATGTTGATTAGTTGGCATGATACGAACAGAAATATAAAATTCTTAGTCGCAAGAATTTAAAATATTTTGTGTGTGTTCCAATCGATCTCATAATGATGAAATTCACTTCCCAAAATGGCCAGCTTTAAAATTGTTAAGACATGCACGAAAAAAATCCAAATTCAGTTTTGCCAAATCTTGACAAAACACAATCGATATCAACGTCATACGAAGCATTGCTGCTCTATCATCCGCTCTCATTTGAATGATGACAAGCAAAGGTTTCACAGGCTTATATATGAGTTCGATCTCCTTTAGGCAGTGTGATAAACAGCTCTTACCTATAACATCATTGCAGCTACATTAAAACCACCTTGTGCAGCGCAGTAAAAAGTTCCAAATTAACAAAAACTACTGTTCAAAAGCTTTCGTTAGAGTGGTAGTTGAAAGCCTGAACGAACTTGAAGAATGCGAATTTTTACTCCCAGAATAAATTTTAATATACCATTGCATGCAAAGACGTTCTATTTCAAAGTGGACTAAGATACAATTATTCAATGGAACTACGCTCTTTTTTTTCTACATCACTTGTTCAACTTTAAAAAAAGGTTCACCAAATTTGCCCTACCTGTGAAACTGGTGTAAGCCTCTACGTTCCAAATATATCTTTTGGCTTTTTGTTTGCAACTTCACTGAAATACGGCTGAGTTTAATTTTCGGTGTTGTGCGACTGGTATGTGTAACTGATAGAGGCACTCGACTCAATATCATGACAATACGTTGGTCCATTGTATTCCCTTCATGCATCTAATTTTTATAGATTAATTACTTGTTGTCGATCCCAACTAAAGCGCATATACTGAGCCACGGTTGACTAGAGAAAAGAAGATCACTTTAAGATCCAGAATATGGGTTTTGTCCTCTCTCAGTCTCTTTCAACCCAGGGGAATAACTTGCATGGTGTATTTGAATCGGTAGCTACTTGAAAGCCTGCACTAAGCTATCCATCGCAGAAAAAAGAATGCTGGCGCAGGAATAAAATTCATGGTACAAGGGCACTATAATGAGAATGACTCAAGAACCAGAAGAACTATGGTCATTAATGAACGTCTTAAAATATTGGTCTAGTCTTTTTAAAAATTACTTCAAAAAAGCGCACTGAAGCCATGAATTGGTTGTTGTAATGAGTTGCGCATGTACTAGCTAGTGTGATGACGTCAAATTGAAAAAGTCTAACAGACTCTTTCAAACTTTGTCATGTGTTGGAAATGTGCATGGCTATAAAAAGTGATTGCAATTTGTTCTTCCGTCAAGATCTTCTATCATAGCGTTCTAAAAGCACTTAGTGTACGATTTAAGTTTTTCAGTCCTCATTACAGCGCTGTTTTGACCAAAAAATACGGAAAAATCCCCATGAAAGTGTCTCCTTAGGTGCTGGAGACTTCAGTTGCCGAGGTAGTTGAGACTTCATGCATGTTGTATATCTTATACGTTTCCATATCGGCAGCGACATTAGTATGATTAAAACTGTATGATCTATATGTAGGAAAATAAGAATAGCAATGAAGGTAGTAAATAGTTTATCTTTCTAAGCGGTTCAACTGATAAAGGATTTATAAGTGAATGAGCATTGAAGATAAAATGGTTGGAATGAGGTACTCGATTTCATACCTCGGATGGGAAGTTTAATTTGTTCACTTTGGCAACCATCTTCGATATTTGCTGCGTATATAATTGTACGGTAAATAAGCGATTTATTGCATGCATTATTGGATAATAACAAATACCTGAAGGTACCTTTGGAAGAGTTTGACGCGGTCGGTGCGGTATTTATTAGAAGGTTGTCATGCATAGCTTTTGGTCAGTCCCTTTTAGACTAATTTACCATACTTCACAAAAAACCTCGTAAAAATATTAAAGTATCATGTACTTTTTTTTACTCTGTGTAGCCTTCAATCGATATTAACGGCACAACAAAATACCCCATGAGTAGATACGCGCTATACTGCGCACGCGCAAACGTTTTCACGTGCGTGCAATAACTACTTATTCTGGTCTTCTGTCGGTCAATGTGGTTATTCAGAATCCGACTTTCAGTATTGATTCAGTAAATAAATTGTCCAATCAGCTGTGTTTGTCTCAGAAATAGCACAAGCAGTAAGGTATACGTTTAAGGCCGCCACTTCCAATAAAAGAACGATAAGAACATCAAGCTATCCATTAGCATTCTATGTGGCAACAATTAACAGAATCAATTTAGTCGCGAGATGAAAAGTGCAATCAATATGAATTTACTTCCCAACACAACAGTGACAAACCTCCCTCGCAAATGAAATAACCCACTGTATTCACTCTTTTGAGCATCGATCTTCATTGACGTTTTAAATATCCATTCATTTTCTAAGGATGCCTGCTGTAAAAGACAACATTGCATTGCCACAACGTTGAAAATCTTAAGTTTCGTGTAGCGATGATCTATCTCCCCGCGCTAAAACCATCAAACCGGCTTTGCAGCAAGCATATTTAATTATCACGAGCACCTTGCTTTTAGATACACATGTTACAAGTAACAAATTCCCTGCAAGACTGGAACGAAAACAACGACATTGTGAAACCTATAAACAGCAAATTTTGAGACATCATAGGAAGTGAAAGAGTTCTCAGTTACCTTTCCGTACGATACAGCTCACCGAACTCGTTTTGCCACTCCATAACACCAGCCTTCACTCGCTCATTCCCCTTGCAACACTAGACCAGAAATTCAGTAGCGGCCGCTATTAACCACTAAAATCGTTAGCTTTGCCTCTTCAACAGCTAAATGCCATCCAGAAGAGAGCTTTTATTTTAATCGCTGCGCGACTTCGCAACGCATTACAATGAAGTTTTTCCAGAATAATTATTCCAAGCGTTTTAGTCTTCTACACCCACGCAACACATTGAAATAATTCTCAATGACGTTTGTCAGCCAGTAATTGCCAAGAGAAAAAAGCAGCTAGTAACTAAACTATGATAGTGCAATCGATATTATTCTTTACAACGTTCCCCGTGTAGTTGAGTTTCTGATTTTTGACCACAACCAAATCTTGTAACCGACAGAGTTGTTTTAATATGTTCTTCGCTAACATGGGTTGAACAAAGATGAACGGTGTTAAAATTGTTGGAAAGCAGTGAAAGCTAACAAGTACTTTTGAAAGGTGGCTTCGTCTTTGCTGTGAAAGCAAAATTTTGGCTTAACTTAATCAATTGCTGAGGTGGCCTTTCGTAAAATAAACCAGATTCTCCACCATATCGTATTTTATTTTTACTTGAAGAAATACGTTACGGCTTGTTGAATTTGCAAGTCGATTGAAGGAAACTTAAGTCTCATAGGAAACGTTTAATTGCTGTAAAAACGTCAATGTTATTGTTCGTTCAGACAGCCAGAGACATCCCTTCTTATGTTCACTGAAACGCAATTAATAAAAATATCACCTGTTCGCTTCAGAAGTGAACAAAAGCACTCACTCAGCGCAAAACAGGAACGAGGTTTAACTTCATGAGCTTTCCCTCACGAGTTGCAACACTGAACCTTTATCTCATGGCTAGCCTTGAAAGTGCACAACAATCCGTAGTTTTTTCCTCCATGGTGTTAGCATCGTATGCAGCGAGGCAGAGGTCTTTGCACTAACTTGCCAAGACCAAAACTTTGTTGTCAATCACATGATAAAGCATGCTTCTGCGCAGCCGCAAATAGAGACTAATTTCGATATTGTGCTTATTTCACAGAGGTGTTGCGAAAGTTCATACAAGGTTAAAAGGGCGAGAATCATTTTTGTAACAACATTTGAAAATAGATTTGAATTTATTTAATTAAACAGTAGACCTAAAATTTACAGTTTTTTTCAACAAGGACTTCGAACGTATAGGGAGATCATAGCTTGCATCATTGTTTACAGAGGAGTTTTTTTTCCCCATCGACTTATGGCCCAATCGCGAAGTGCTTGGGCCGTAAGTCGATGGGGAGACTCCATAACTTACAGTATCCTTAAATCGAGGATCCATAACTTACAGTACGGACCGAGAAAACGTTAAGTTAAGAACACTTGGCCATAAATCACGAAACATTTGGCAACAAAAACAGCTTAAATTTTAGCGGGCGGGCCGTACAGTAGAATACAGCCCGCTAAACTGACCAATCAGCGCGCGTACTAACTGAGAGATATCATCAAGTCTTTTACCACATTTTACACCTGGAAGCGCGTCAAAAATACTGCGCTGCGCGTCGTATTTTTAACTCTCTCCAGGGTGTTTGGAAATGTGGTCAAACACGGTCTCACTGGCGATGCTGGTTTGTCACGTTTCGTTGGTTCTCGTCAATGTTTTGAGGAAGGAGGGTAGATGATCTGTTATATCCACAAGATGTCATAGTTGCTTTTAGATGTGCATATCTTAAAATAATCGAGAGAAAATTGTGACAAGTAAAAACACCGTATATTTTGTCATCTTTTTTGCTGTTCTTTTCTTTTTTCTTTATCTCGATATAGCCATGCTTAATTACAAAAGGTCAGTGCCATATATCAAGAGAAGTAATTTTTAATGACGTTTTTCGCAAGTCTACACATCTAATCAAATCTAATCTTCTTCTAAGTGATTAGCGTTGTGCTCAAGAAATAATCTTAATTACAACATGGTCTCGTAAACAGTAAAACAACATTCTTGCTAGTGTAATTCTTGTAGAGAGGGAGAACAAATCTAGTATTTTAAAAAGCAGAATATACCATTTTTCATGAATGAATGCCACTCATAAATTATTTTGTAAGTATTAAATGTTTTTTAGTTGATTTATTCGAAAGAATTTTTACCCTCAGACGAGTTTTGTAAGGCAGATTTTAAAACGCATACAAAAGAATTTCAACTGAATTTACAGCCGTTTATGAAAAGTAGAATTATAGAAAGTAAGTTATTTAGCATCTTTCTATCATTGTTTTTGAAAAGGATCTATAGCTGTGTGCAAACAGAACAGGTAGCTTTCACGAGTTCTGCCGGCAAGTAGAGTAGTCCAGCCTAACTGCTGCACAGTGACATGGAAAGCAAAATCCTTTCTTTTTTCTTTCTTTTTTTTGTTTTTTTTTTGTTTTCATTCTTGCATTATGACGATTAACTAACCAGTCGCTACCGCGACCAGCAAACAAAATGATTCAATCAGTTGTGTTGCTTTTTTACGTACCGTAATGGAATTTTTCCTGTCGTTCCGGTACTGTCGAAGACCTCATCAAGCTCTCTAATGGTCTTTAAATACATCCGTTCCACGAAGCCGGGAGAAATGCTCCACAAGAGCCCGTTGCTTCGGCCAAATACTGATCAGTTATATTTCGCCGGTTGTTTTCAATATCTTTTTGTCCAGAGTAAGGCTCTGGGTGAGGCCGTGACATGAATGACGTCAAAAAAGCAGACGGAAAAAACGTCATATTCAAAATACTCCCCTAGCAACGGCTCCCGGAAGTTGCTTTTTGCACCACAGGGGATCCACTTCCCAGAAGAGCAAGCAAGCAACTTTTTACGGCAGCCAGAACGAATATGAAACGCAAAAGGTAACGAGAGTAAAATGGCCGAGAAAAAGCAAAGAAAAGGGGCAAGAAAAAAAAATCGGAACGGGCAATTGCAAAAGACAAACAAAATTGGTTTATGCGCAGGGGCCAAATTAAAATTTTTTACGTTTTTGTGCCTAATCTTCGGGAAATCTATCTTTTTGGTAACAAAAATAGTTTTTTCAGCAAAACTAAGGCCCATTTAGCGTTATGGCAGCCAAAAAGCTGATTTAACGGTTAAAAACGGCATTTTATGGTGAAAATTTGGGGGTTAAAGGGTTAAACCACTTACTAGGTTCTTACACGTGGGTTCTTACTCTTCTTCTTCAATTCTCTACAAGTGTTGCAGGTAAATTCTCTAAGCCCGCCTAATTAGAGTAGTACACGAAACGGTAAAGAAAAGTTATAAATTTGTAATTGTCCATATGTTGTCTTTATGGCGTTTCTCTGTACTTGAGTAAATGAATTTTCTCCTTGATGCTTGCCAAGAGGCCTTCAGGTGTTGGCTCTCGTATGGCAGTTTTTGGAGCCTTGTAAGAGACGTATGGCTTCAACTGGCAAGAAAGAAAAATATATATTAATTATAGTAGTCCTGTTTTTCATTCAGAGTGACAGTTATGTTCTTATTGAAAAGATGCAATGGCTATATTGGGATTATCTATGAATGTGAAGTAGTGGGGGAGGTGTGGCAAGGTAATGGTTGCATGCTAGAATCCGAAATCAGCAGTCTGGGGTTGAGCACTGGCTGGGGTCACTCTGTTGTCTTCTTGGGCAAATTAAATTCTCGTGGTGCAACCCTTCTCGTAGATGTATAAACGGGTACCACCAAATTACATGCTCGACAGGGGTTTCATTAACTTTTCAACAGGAGGGCAACTGGTTTTCACAGGCAGGAAAAACTTTTTGAATTAAGCCTCTTTATATGAAAATCTTTACTCTAGATGGTTAAACCAGCCAGACAACATCATCCTCACAGCCAGTAAGTTTGCCCAAAAAATGAATGAAACCCCTGAGTTACTCAAGGTAAACATGCAATGGACAAGCATCCCATTCCAATGGGGTGGGAGACAAAAAATACTCCTTGCTATTTAATGCCGTTGTAATGGGTAATAAGTGCTGGTCTGTTCGGCTGCAAAACTCAGGTGTAGAGTGAGCAAGACACTAAAAATAGCACCGCTTAGCATTGCTTAAAATAACACCTCTTAGACTAATTAAGGTAATGCATACAAAGTCACCCTCACCAACAGAGGTAATTCTGGTTTTTGCAGAATGAAATAACTAGGCGTATAATAATATTTACTAATCCCCCCTGGATGGAAAGATAGTGCACAGCAGGTTCCCTATACAGCATTCTGTCAGGTTTTTCTCACAAACAGTTCACCAGAACCTGTTTACAGTGAGGTGGAGGTGCAGTGACACTTAAGTCTCACAAACAAACATGACACAATTACCTTTTTTCTAATCACCATAACAAAAATTTTGAAAAACATGTGAATAACAGAATCTGAAGAATGGAAGCAGTTCTTACAGCACAGATAATTATGCTGTACAACAGAAGAGAAGTAGGATACATTCTGAAAATCCATACCGCAAAAAAAACTGCCTGTTACCGAGAACTCAGTGATACTGTTTCAATTGATGTGTGACCTTTATAGCTTGACTGTGTAGGCAGCAAATAGACCCTTGTCTATCATTACATCTTACTCCAGAGATTTCTTTAATTATGGATTTAATACCTCAAAGCCAGTCAAATCTGGAACAATGAACTCTGCTACTTTCTTCCGAACTATCATATAACCACCTATAGAGAGAGAGCCAGCCAATTTTGCTTTAAAATTGAGTTAAATATTTTAAAATACATGACTGTATGTGTTTGCTCTTGTTAATTATATTGATTTGCCAAGTTAAAAGTTAAGCCAAAATAGTGAAAATACTCCCATTCAGGCACTTTTCCAAATTCTGGCCACTGCCATTTTATTGTGGGTCCCCACCATACACAGAAGTATAGACTTGCATGCTAAAATTGACACCAACTAAGAATAATAAAATTTTATTACTTTTTGCCACAAGATTCCATGGCACAGACATCTTGCTGGGTTGTGCAAAGTATAGTTAATGCTAGACACTTGTTTGCTGAGTTAGCCACTATGTGGCATAATATATCTTTTTTTTTTAGGCTGGGGTCTGTTGCCTGAGGTGCTGTAACCACAACTACATGTATAGAGTACTAAAAGAAAACTTGCTATCCCCCCAAAAATTCTGTTAATGTGACAAAAAGATATCTTATCTTATGTTATATTTACCTTTTCTTGTGTGGAAACCTGGGTTTCTGACTCCACGTCCTGCAATGAAAATTTGGCAATTTAACTACCTGCAATGTTTTTAAACATTGAGGGTAGTTAAAACACTGTTAAAACAGTGTTCAGTACATGTACATCTGCATCAAAGAATATTTGGGAGCTTGAGCAAAGACCAGCAGAAGACCTCACCGGGGCTTTCATTACGGGTGGTAACCTGTAATGCCTGTTATGGCTGAGTATGATTTATTTTCCCTTGATGCAACCAGTGAAATTGCCTGTTGTTGATAGAATTCACCAACATAGTAACAATTTTGTTAAAGGGTGTGGAGAGCAAGGCTACAGGTGAATCAAAACTTGATGACAGCCCTGATTACTGGTCCACAAACAGCACATATTCACTCACACCAGTGGGTTAGAAAGCTCTCATTTTACCATTTGATACTTGATATTTTTTATGAATAAATTATGGAGGTCTCCTAATGAAGAGATTCAAAATTTGTACATTTCTTGCTTTCGACAAAAATACTGAAAGGAGTGAGCCCTTTCTGGCAACAAATGCCTATACAAGCTTAGTTTAATAAATAGATTCCATGTTGCTGTGCATCTGTTTAGTAAAAGATCATGGATGATGTCAAAATGCGGTAAGAACAAAAAAGTGGCAAACAAGCTGTTAGGAGATTGTGTCACTGATGTTCTCACCACATATTGATGTCTTCTGTGATCTATTATTGAACAGATACTCGGCAACATGGAATCAACTTGTTTGATATAATAAGGAAACAAAGCCAATGACGTCATCTATGCGTCTGTCCTCCAACACATTACAAGTAAGAACCAATCAAAATGGGAGAGTAATTCGAAATTTGCTAGTTATTATTATTTTTTAATTATTACAATTTTATATAATTAAAAATAAAACACCCTTACTGCACCAACCTTCCCCTACAGAGAGGGTGGTAAAGGGTATTTTCGTGATTTGTGATTGGCCTAATTTTTTTCTCATGAAATGTGAAATGGCTTGAATTTTTCTCGTGAATCGTGATTTAATTAGAAGCCATGAACCGTGATTTTCCAAACTAATTCTCCGTGAAATGAGAAAGAAGTATTTAATTCGTTTGAACCGGGATTCTGGTTGTGTCTTCTAGCTCTTACTTTCGACGGTAATTAACAATATTGCGTAACCGTGACCGGACAATCATCCCTCTTCGTGTCCTTGATCGGATTTCTTTTTGCTGCGCACAGAACAAGAAGCAAACGGATGATAAAGACATCTAACAAGACTGTACTTGGGCGTAACTTTCAAATATCATAAATTACGTAAGTTCGTGTCAAAAAATGCCATTTTGTTTTAGTGAAACGTGAAATGTCGATTTTATTTCCCGTAAATTGAATGTATGAATAAATGAATTGTGAAAGGACCAATTCATTTCCGTGAAACGTGATCTTGACCCCCCCTCCCCCCTTTACCACCCTCTACAGAGTGTACAAAGACAACCAACCCATGAAAATAATCAACATTGCCGACTTCACTGCACTATATCGCTCGAATTCAATGATGCCAAAAGAAAATACCTTTGTAAAAGTTCTTGTTCCCCCTCTTTCCCGTCATCACGCCTCGTGTGGCACCTCTAAAGAGGCCTCGAAGAATATTTAGTGGCATTTTTGTCCTTCGATCGCTGTCAAATCAAATTTAACTCTACTATAAAAGTTCCATCGTGGCTGAATGTTTTTTCCCAAAATGGCGGAGAAGCGCTTAGCATCCACGCCTGTTTGCTCGGTAACCTTCGGTCCAGATCCCAGCCGAGCGTGACAAGATCACGTTAGCTTGGTAAAATGGCAACTCGGAAGAATTCAACGTCTAGTGGAAGGGGCAAAACTTTTGGAACAGCGAGTGGAACTCGAAAAACAAGCGAGGGAGTTTCTGTGGATTCTTTCTCTCAGGCACGAATCAAAGAGGTAAGGAAAAACTGCAAGACTTCAAATGTTTACAATTAAAATTTGACATAAAACAAAGACTGCTTACATGAGCATACAAGTTCATACTGTGCAGTCTTTTCATAAATTGATTACAAGTTGTAAGTTTTTGTAAAAACTTAAATTGTGGAAACCTGCATCTCCGTGGCAGGTCAGGTCAATCGCTTTGTTCATGTCAAAAGCGCACTCCTGAAGAAATAGAAAACACTTTCCGTGTTTATGGAATTAACTTAGGGACCGTTCATTTTTTATGAGGGAGGGGGGGCTGGTGGGATTTGGGAAGCACCATTTAAAAATCGCATGACCCCCCCTCAGCTTACCAATTT